CTCTGTATAATGGGCTCCAGTTTCATCCATCTCATTAGAACTGATTCAAATGAATTCTTTTTAATGGCTGAGTAATATTCCATGGTGTATATGTACCACAGCTTCCTTATCCATTCATCTGCTGATGGGCATCTAGGTTGCTTCCATGTCCTGGCTATGGTAAACAGTGCTGCGATGAACATTGGGGTGCACGTGTCTCTTTCAGAACTGGTTTCCTTCACACCGCTGTATTTAAAATAGATAACCAACAAAGACCTACTGCATAGCACAAGGAACTCTGCTCAATGTTATGTGGCAGCCTGGATGGAAGGGGAGTTTGGGGGAGAATGGATACATGTCTATGTATGGCTGAGTCCCTTTGCTGTCTACCTGAAATTATCACAACATTGTTCATCAGCTATATGCCAATACAAAATAAAAGGTTAAAAAAAATCCTCTATGTGCAGAAGGAAGGGTTCCTCACTGCATTTTAAACAAGGAAGTGTGTAGTTCCCCGGAAAACAAGACACAGTCTTCACTGACTCATTTTGAAGACTGGGGTTCCCTCCAAGAAAGGTGTTCGGGAGAGAAGTAGACGTCTCTGTCAATTCCTTCTGTGTGCCAGACACTCAGAGGCCAGTGAACATCTCTGATTTGCATTGCTGTTTTTCAGCCACTAAGTCATTTCCGACTCTGCGACCCCGTAGAGTGCAGCATGCCAAGCTTTCCTGTCCTTCACTATCGCCCAGAGTTTGGTCAAACTCCTGTCCATTGAGTCGGTGATGCTATCCAACCATCTCACCGTCTGTCGCCCCCTTCTCCTCCTGCCCTCAATCTTCCCCAGCATCAGGGTCTTTTCCAATGAGTTGGCTCTTCGCATTTGCCTTAATTGCCCCCAAATCCCCACCAGAGAGGTGCAGCTCTTCTCCCTACTCTTGACTGTTCTCTTCTCCTCAGGACGACAGGAGCAGTGCCCAGAGTCCACGGCCTGGAGGCCGGGCATCAGCAGCCTGGGTGCAGGTCTCCTACACCCGCAGGGCCCTGGGAGAAGCCCACCGTGGAGGAGGCCCTGGAGTCTGGGTCCAGGACGGTCAGCAGGAGGTACCTGAGCTCCCTGAAGAACAAGCTGTCCAGCGGGGCCTGGAGGAAGTCTTACCAGCCCGAGACCTGCCCCGGCTCAGGGACACAGGTGCCGGGGGGCTGGGGAAGAAGTGGGGTGCTGGGGGGGCCATCCTCTGATCTCCTCCCCACGCATTCTCTCCCAGCCGGAGCCAAGTCTTCCCGTGGGTGGGTGGGGTCTTCTGTGTCCAGAGATCAGCTGAAAGCTAGATTCACACTGCCCCCCCCCACCCTTAATGGCCTTTGATTAAGTGCCTACTGGGCAACCTGCTGCTGACATTATTTCTCATACCCCTGACTGAGGGAGTCTTTTTAAATTTTTAATTATTTATATATTTATTTTTATTATGCATTTATTTACTTTTGGCTGTGCTGGGCTTTTGTTGCCATGCGCAGGCTTTCTCTAATTGCGGAGAAATTAGCACTCTGTTGTGGAGCTCAGGCTCCAGGCACATGGGCTTCAGTAGTTGTGGTGCACAAGCTTAGTTGCTCCAGGCATGTGGAATCTTCCCGGATCAGGGATTGAACCTATGTCCCCTGCATTGGCAGGCGGGTTCTTAACCGCCTGGGAAGTCCTGTAGGAGTCTTTAAGGCATGGAGATTGAAATTCAGACAGCCTAAGGAACTTGTCCAAGAACACTCAGCTCGGGACCTGGTTCCCTCTCAGGTGTGGCCTCAGGTCACCCACTGAAGGAGGCAACACTGCCAGCTAAAAATAGAGGTCAGCACTGATTCCCGCCCTGAGGCTGGCTCTGGGTAGTTCACCTCCCTTTTCTGGGCTTCAGTTTTCTTGTCTATGGGGTTGAAGGGTTCGGCTGCAGGACGCTCTGCACCCTGGAGCCAGACCACCAGGGTTCATGTCCCAGCTCTTCAGCTCACTGTGTGACCTTGGGCAAGTCTCTGCAACCCTGCTATACTTGTTTCCTCATTGAGAAAATGGAGATGTGATAACAGGAGTACATACTGTGTATACTGGTTATCATTTGCTATGTAACAAACTACCCCAAAATGTAGTGGCCAAACAGCTTGCTGTTTCTGACAGTTTTGTGGGTTGATTGGAATGTTATTGGATAGGTTTTCTGTTGGTCTCACTTGGGATTGGTTTCACTTAGCTCGGGCTGCCGTAACAAAATAGAACAGCCTAGGTGACTTCAGGGCTTCTCTGGTAGCTCAGTTGGTAAAGAATCCACCTGTAATGCAAGAGACCCTGGTTTGATTCCTGGGTTGGGAAGATCCCCTGAAGAAGGGATAGGCTACCCACTCCAGTATTCTTGGGTTTCTTGGTGGCTGAAACGGTAAAGAATGCACCTGCAATGACGGAGACCTGGGTTCAATCCCTGGGTTGGGAAGATCCCCAGAGTAGGGCATGGCAACCCACTCTAGTATTCTTGCCTGGAGAATTCCCATGGACAGAGGAGCCTGGCAGGCTATAGTCCATGCGGTCACAGAATCGGATACGACTTAGCAACTAAGCATAGCACATAGGTGACTTAAAGAGCTTCCCAGGTGGTGCTGGTGGTAAAGAACCCACCTGCCAATGCAGGAGATGTAAGAGATGTGGGTTCGATCCCTAAGGTCAGGAAGATCCCCTGGAGAAGGAAATGGCAACCCTTCTCCAATATTCTTGCCTGGAGAATCCCATGGACAGAGGAGCCTGGTGGGCTACAGTCCATGGGGTCACAAAGAGTCGGACATGACTGAAGCAACTTAGCATGCACAAGTGACTTAAACAACAGAAATACATTTTCCCACAGCTCTGAAGACTGGACATCCAAGGTCAAGGTGCTGGCAGGGTTGATTTCTGGCAAGGCTCCCTTCCTGGCTTGTAGATGGCCATCTCACTGTGTCCTCACTTGACCTTTTCTCCTACACATGCTTTCCTGGTGTCCCTCCCTCTTCTTATAGGGGCACCAGTCCTGATGGATTAGGGCCCCACCCTCTGCATCAGTTAACTTAATTACTAAATATAGTCACATGGGAGGTTAGGGCTTCAACATATTAACTTGGGGACACAATTTAGTCCATAACAAGGGCTCCCACACGTCTGAAGTCAGATCTTGGCTGAGGCAGGAATGCCCATGATAGCTCATCTCCCAAGCCTAGTGCCTGGGCAGGGACAGCTGGAAAGCTTGCTCCTCTGGGATGCTGACATGGCTGGGCCCCTGGCTTCCTGTGCATGAGGTCCCAGGGCCTCTCCTCTCCCTGTGGCCTCTCCCTCAGGGCAGCTAGGCCTCTAGATATGGTAGTTCATGGCTCCCAAGAGAGCGCAGGTGGAAGCTTCCAGGCCTCTTAAAGCTTAGGCACAGCCTTGCTCTGTTCCATTCTCTCAATCCCAGCACCAACTCAGATGCACCTGCAGCATGGGATGAGTCTTGGGAGCTATGCTCACTGGGGTATCTTTGGATACTGCTCCCATCAGAGGAGACCAAAGCCCTCCTTCTCCTCCTCCCCCCAACTTCCCTGCAGGAGCCTGAGGAGAAGAAGATTGTCCGGGAGCTGCTGGAGACTGAGCAGGCCTACGTGGCACGCCTCCACCTGCTGGACCAGGTCACTGGCCAGGACACCCCCCTCCCACTCCTTGGCACCTGGGTGTCCGCACCCTACCCCTGCTCTCCCTTCTGGCCCACCTCATAAGAGCTGAGAGTCAGGACTTCAGGTCTGATCCTAGGAAGCCTTAGTCCTTTAACTGATGACTGAAGTTTGGGCAGAAACCAGGATACAGCTCATTATCACTGCTCCTGATTCCACCCTTGGTACCTAGGCTTGTCTCACAGGAGCGGAGACCATGCCAGCAGGTCCTTCCAGGCCCCACACAGCATCCTCATCTATCACCCCAGCTCCCAGCATCCTCACCATTCTTAGCCCTTCACACTGTCTTCAGGAGCTCTAAGGCAAGAAGGTTGAATCACTGAAGTGGGATCTTGAGCCTGGTGAAGTCCAAGGCCTTGACAGACACAAGATGGGCCCATCCCTGGCATTCATCAGCTCCCAGCTTCTGGCCCAGTCATTTGGTTTGCCCACCTGTAGTGGCCAGAATAATCCTTGTCTCTCTTCCCAGGGTTTTTTGAGGATGATGGGAGGTTAAGGAGGCGGAAGTGTTCTGGAAGCTGGGGGGGAGGGATCCCCGAAGCCCCCAGGACTGTGCTTGTCACCCCCGAGCTGGTGTCAGGGGTGGGGGGCTCCTTCTCTGCCACAGGCTCAGTGACCCAGCGGCGGCTACAGGTCTTCTTCCAGGAGCTGCTGAAGGAGGCCCGAGGCAGCAAGGCCTTCCCTGAGGATGTGGTCAGGCTCATCTTCTCCAACATCTCCTCCATCTACCAGTTCCACTCGCAGTTCTTCCTCCCAGAGCTGCAGCGGCGGCTGGATGACTGGTAAGGTCCAGCAGGAGCCCCTGGGGCCCCCTGACTACAGCCCTGGCCAAGTCGGGGTGCAGCCTCCAGGATACTGGGTTTGGCCTGTTAGGTCTCTGCCCTTGTTATGTGGCCATGACTCTACTCCTCTAGGCTTGCTCTGTCTGCATAGTGAAGGGCTTGAATGAGTCATGTGTGTGTGTGTGTGTGTGTGTGTGTGTGTGTGTTCTGGAGAAGGGGATGGATCAGGTCCTCACTAGGCTGAGTGACTTAGGAGGCAGCGGAAGCCGCCAGCACTAACTGAAGATTTCCTACTTGCCTTGCCTTGGGTTTCACACCTATTAACTTGCTTAGTCTTCACATTAGCTCACTATGTGCTAATGGCCTTGTGGTTAGGCCAGAAACCCTCTATGCTTTCAGAGATACCCACGAAAGTATTTAGTGGTGAAATTAGTATCTTGCCAAAGAAATGCCATGATGTCTGGCATGTCCTTTAAAATTTCTTGGCAAAAAAGAATCTTTCAGTTCCGTTCAGCTCAGTCATTCAGTCATGTCCAACTCTTTGTGACCCCGTGGACTGCAGCATGCCAGGCCTCCCTGTCCATGACCAACTTCTGGAGTTTACTCAAAATCATTTCCATTGAGTCGGTGATGCCATGCAACTATCTCATCCTCTGTCGTCCCCTCCTCCTCCCACCTTCAATCTTTCCCAGCATCAGGGTCTTTTCAAACGAGTCAGTCCTTCGCATCAGGTGGCCAAAGTATTGGAGTTTCAGCTTCAGAATCTTAGTAATTGTTAAATCCTGTGATGTATCTATAGTTAGCATTAGATGCTCAGTCGTGTCTGACTCTTTGCAACCCCATGGACTGTCATCCACCAGACTCTTCTGTCCTTGGATTTCTCCAGGCAAGAATACTGGAGTGGGTAGCCATCCTCTTCTCTAGGGGATCTTTCCGACCCAGGGATCGAACCCAGGTCTCTCAAACTGCAGGCAGATTCTTTACCATCTGAGTCCCCATGGAACCTGATGGATCTATAAGGGTTCATTATTATATTCTTTTTACTTTATGATCGATCAACATTTTTTTCAATAATTTTTTCCCAAAAAGACAACCCTGTAAGGTTGCCTACCATCATGCCCAGTTTTTTCAGATGGGAAAGCTGAGGTATAGTGAGGCTAGGCGATTGGCCCAAGAACACGTAGCTGGAGTAAGTGGTGCGGTTGGAAATCAGACTCAGGCGGGCCAGGTCCAGATCACTGACGCTCTACTGTAACAACTCCAGGGTTTAATGACCTTTCCTTACCTCTCTTAGCCTGGATTTCCTCCTCTCTAAGATGGGCCACTGACTGTCTGTCCTTCCTGCCCCGTGCAGGGTCATAAGAATTAAATGAGATGAGGCATGCAGCGTGTCTCGGGCAGTGCTGGGCATGTGGCCTTTGTTATTGTTATGAGAACAAGCATCAGGTGGTTATTGAACACCTGTTGTGGGCCTGAGCCTGTGCTGGGCCTTTAGGGGAATTCCATCCATAGGAGAGGTCAGCATCTGCCCTCTGGGGGCCCACAGTCTAAGGGTGTGCCCAGGTGTGCCCACCCCATCCCATACCTGCGCCCAGGAGTGCCGCAGAAAGGCTGCGTTGCAGGGGGGGTTGAGGGGAGCCTCACCTCTCCTGACCCTGTGTGGAGTCAAGAGAAGAGGTCCCCAGACCGAGGGCAGTACCTGGTGCCCCTCCGGCAGGACCACCACCCCCCGCATCGGTGATGTGATCCAGAAGCTGGCGCCCTTCCTGAAGATGTACAGTGAGTATGTCAAGAACTTTGAGCGAGCCATCGAGCTGCTGGCCACCTGGACAGACAAATCCGCACCCTTCCAGGAGGTTATCACCCGCATCCAGGTGAGGCTGGGGTGGGCGCGGGGTAGAGCCCTGCACGGCTGCCCCCAGCCTGCGGTGGCTCCAGTTCCCCAAGCGATTTGGGGCACTTTGCCCTCTCAGCGGCTTCCGCAGCCCTGCCCGCTCCCCTGATCCTCAGGGGCAGCCTGACCCGCCCCTTCCCCCTTTGACGCCCCCTCTTCTCCCCCTTTCCCTCCCCAAGAGCAGCGAGGCCTCAGCTAGCCTGACCCTGCAGCACCACATGCTGGAACCTGTGCAGAGAATCCCACGCTACGAGCTGCTGCTCAAGGAGTATGTCCAGAAGTTGCCAGGCCAGGCCCCAGACCTGGCTGATGCCCAGAGTGAGGACACCCCAGTGAATCGGGGGGCGGGGGGGCTCTGGGAAGGCTGGAGCCACTCCCCTAATTTATGGAGCACCTGCTAAAGATGGTTTTGATGACCATCAACCATCAATGTTGACTGTTGTACTTCATAGACATTGTCTATAGCATTAGTTATTTTTTTTCCTACAGACACTAAGGCCCAGAGAGGTTAAGTGACTTGCTCAAAGTCACACAGTGAAAAAGCAGCAGAGCTAGGATTTGAAACCATGCCCTTACTCCTGGATACGGCAGGCAGTGAAAATCACAGAGGCCAGCCGCCTCAGTCCTGTCTTTCAGGGGCCTCTGGTCTCTTCACCCTGGGTGGGAATCGGCCCCCATCATCCAGACACTGGATGCGCCAGGCTACAGGGGAAGGGCTGCCCCTGGGGTGCTCAGGGCAGGCTCTGAGGCCACTGGGTTAAGTCTCAGGGGCCTCCTGCCTCAGCCACCAGCCCCATACTTTCAGGGGGTAACTCCAACCCTGCCCCCTTTTCAGAAGCCCTTGACATGATCTTCTCTGCTGCTCAGCACTCCAACGCAGCCATCACTGAAATGGTGAGCGCCCCAATCCTCTGAGAAGGAGCTGTGGGCATCCCCAGGGCCCTGTCACCTCCTCCTGCAGCTCTCAGCCCCTGCCAGCCCACCCAGATCTCTGTGTCTGCCTCTCCTCTGATCCTGCCCATGACACCCAGCCCCCTGCCGCCCTCCTCCCCACTCCCCATCTCTGCCCACGCGAGGCCAGCCTTCCAGGAGCAGGCAGGGTCTTGCTTGACCTTGGCTGAGGGTGGCCCTCCTGCACCCAGGAGCGGCTGCAGGAACTGTGGGAAGTGTACCAGCGCCTGGGCCTGGAGGACGACATAGTCGACCCCTCCAACACCCTGCTCCGCGAGGGCCCCGTCCTCAAGATCTCCTTCCGCCGCAGCGGCCCCATGGAGCGCTACCTTTTCTTGGTAGGGCGGTGCTGGGGGGCTGGATCACTCCACACTGGGGAGGGGCATCCATAGGCATGGGCGCTCTGCCCCAGGTCCTGCCTGCCTGGCACCTTCCTGGCTGGCACTGCAGGAGAGCAGGGACAAGCCTGCTTCCCTGTCTTTATGGCTTTGGCGCCGTGGTGACTTGGGACAAATCACATGCTGCCTCCAAGCCTCAGGGATTTCCAGCTAAGGGGGTGCCCAGGCATGTCCTAGGAAGCCACAGAGTCAGAAGCTGAACCCAGTCTGTTTGGCTCCAAAACCTGTGGTATCAATCTGTGCTCTAGAGTGGGCAGGCTGTTGTTGCTGTTGAATCGTTAAGTCATGCCCAACTGTTTCGTGACCCCGTGGACTGTGTAGCCCACCAGGCTCCTCTGTCCATGGGATTTTCCAGGCAAGAATACTGGAGTGGGTTGCCATGTCCTTCTCCAGGGGATCTTCCTGACCCAGTGATTGAACTCGCGTCTCCTGTGTTGGCAGGCAGATTCTTTACCACTGTGCCACCAGGGAAGCCGAGAGCGTGCACATCAGGAGGGCATTAGGTTAGCTGCTAGGAAGAACTGCCCCGGTTTGCAGTGAGGAAGCCAAGGGGTCTCCTGGAGATCTGGAAGCTGGTCCCACCTGGAGGTTTGGGGGAGGGAGCTACAATCTCTCATAAGCCTCTGCCACCATTGACCCCCGTGAGAAAGGCCTCGTAGGTCTCCAAAGCCTGCCGTGGTCCCCTGAAGTCCACAGGTCGGGCAGCCCCTCGGTGAGCACCCCAGGTGGAGTGGGGCTAGAGCGCCTCTTGCTCATCACGCTCGTGTTGTCCTGTGAGCTGGCCCAGCGCGTGGTGAGAGGGGAGGGAGGCCCGGGGTCTCAGCCCACGTGCGGCGAAGCCCGCCCGCCTGTCCTTGCCGCCCCTGCTGCTGTGCACACACGCCCGCACTCGTGTCTCCCGCAGTTCAACAACATGCTGCTGTATTGCGTGCCCAGGGTCATCCAGGTGGGCGCCCACTTCCAGGTCAGGACCCGCATCGATGTGGCCGGCATGAAGGTGAGAGGGCTTCACCCCCAGGGTCTGACCGAGGGTGGGGAGCAGCAGGAGGGGCCGACCGGCAACTCAGTCCAGGAACCCAGGTGCAGCAGGTCTGGGGCGATGTGAAGGCGAAAGAGATGGGGCTTAGATCTCTCCCACCCGGGCTCCCAGCCTTCCTGTCCAGGGCCCTTCCCAGCGCCCAGCTTCACTTTGCTTTCCCTACCATCTACACCAGGGCTTTGAAACCTTTATGACTGCATGAATCCCCTGGGAGTCTTGTTAAAATAATGGGTTCTGATTCAGTAGGTCTGGTGTGGGGTCAGAGATTCTGCATTTCTGAGCAGCTCCTGGCAGATGCCAGTATTGCAGCTTTGAGTAGGAAGGGTCTCCACAGCTCAGTGGCCAACTTGGATGTGTCCACATCCAGAGATGTTCACGAATGAGCAGGGACAGCAGCCCATAATGGTGCCTGCTGACTGAGTGGTCCCCATGGGTTAGGCCCTGCATCATCCCATTGGACCCTCATAACAGCCCTGGGATGTAGGGGCTGTTATTATCCCCTGCATTTTTTTAGTTTTTAAAAAAATCTTAAAAAATAATTTTATTACCTAAAAATGTAAATAATACACATTCCAAAATCACACTATATAAAAAATATATGCAACGTGTATTGCACATATAGGCACTCCATCCCTGAGTTCTCCTTCCTAGAGGCAGCCTTTGCTCCTTGTGAGGCCTTCCAGAGGTAGTCTATTCATTATGGCATCCTTACTTGTGTTTCACATAAACAGTGAGACTGTTTTTCACATACATTATTCTGTGCTGGACTTTTTAAACTAGCTACTTACTCTGGAGATGGTTAGAAGTCAGTTTGTTTGGAGCTTCCTCATCCTTTTACATAGATGCATAGTGTCCTAGTGTGTGGATGTACCATAATTTGTTCAACCAGTCCACTACTGATGGACGTTTAGATTGTTCTCAGCTGTTTGTGTCTGCAAATGAGACTGCAGTAAATAACTGTGTACAGTCTGAGGATATCTGTAGTTAATCCCATTTTCAAAAATAAGGAAAGTGATACATCCAGACAGTGAAATATTATTCAGTGATAAGGAGTGAGCTATAAAGCCATGAAAAGACATGGAAGAAACTTAAATTCATGTTACTAAGTGAAAGAAGCCAATCTAAAAAGGCTACATGTATACATACGGTGTACATCTACTGTATGATTCCAGTGGTATGACATCCTGGAAAAGGCATTCTGTCTCTGGGTGGAGACAGTGAGAGGATCAGTAGTTATTAGGGGTTAGGGGGAGGGAGGGATGAACACAGAGGATTTTAAAGGCAGTGAAACTACTTTTTAGGTGCTATAATGGTTGTTATTGTTTAGTTGCTAAGTGGTGTCCTGCTCTTTGTGACCCCGTGGACTTCTCTATGTAATGGTAGATATCAGTTATTATACATTTATCCAAACCTACAGAATGCACAACGCCAAGAGTGAAGCCTGATATAAACTATGAATCTTGGGTAATAATGATAGGTTCATTCATTCTAACAAATGTACCATTCTGGTGTGGAAGTGTTATTAATGGAGGAGGTTGTGCATGTATGGGCACAGGGGGTATATGGGAAATCTCTGTACCTTCCTCTCAGTTTTGCTGTGAACCTAAAATCTGATTGAAAAAAAAACAAACACAAGACGCAGAAAGGTTAGAGCTTTCCTGATAGCTCAGTTGGTAAACAATCTGCCTGCAATGCAGGAGACCCTGGTTCGATTCCTGGGTCAGGAAATTCTGCTGGAGAAGGGATAGGCTACCCACTCTAGTATTCTTGGGCTTCCTTGTGGCTCAGCTGGTAAAGGCTTACCCACTCCAGTATTCTGGCCTGGAGAATCCCATGGACTGTATAGTCCATAGGGTCGCAAAGAGTTGGACACAACTGAGCAACTTTCACTTTCGGAAAGGTTAAGTAACTTGCTTGGGGACCACTCAGCAAATCCTCGTTTGCATGATCAAGCCCAGGTATAACAGAGTCCGAGCCTCTGTATCTAACCAGCATACTATACTGTCTCCTATTAACTCTTCAACCCAGAGGGATAAGGCATAGGGTGGAATTGTGGGCATAGTGGAGGAAATGGGAAGAAAACCCTCTTGGCCACCCCCTCTCTGATGGCTCCTAAGTCCCGGTGGCCGGGGCTGGAAGAAACAGAAGTCAGATCTGGCCCATCTTAGTACCTTTCCATCTCCCCTTCCCCCTCCTTACCCCCACACGACATCTCCCAGGATTTTCCCCAGGAGGGAGCTGAAGGCAGGACACTTCTGCTCCTGGAGACCTCCTGAGCTCTGAGAGCCCCTGCAGGACGGCCTTGCCCCTGTTCCTGACTCGGCTGGCCTGGCATTTGGGGTGGGGTGTAGCCTGAGGGTGATGGCAGGACATGGGTGGCTTCTGGGGGTTCCCAGCCCATCCCCCATGCCTCAGCGGACTGAGGTCTTTGGGGAATGCAGCCCTCTACTCTGTCTTATCCAGCTTCTCTTACTGCAGTGGCCAGAATGTCCCACAGGCCAGAGCGGGCATGAGCCTGAGCATCTGGGAGCCACGGTGGGTGAGCCTGAGAAAGGCAGGTTATGGAGAGTTACAGACAGAAATTGGAGACTGGCGGCCCTGTCTTAGGACTGGCAGAGACCCAGGCGGAGAAAAAGAGGCAAAGGTTGACAGGAAAGCCAAGAAATATAGAGACCAAAACAGAGTCATAAAGAGGAAATCCATAAATACATTCCCTAGAGTGTCTGAGCTCAGGATGTGTGCATGGGGTTCCTGGCGTCTGCTAGTCTGGGCGAACACAATCACTGCAGGGCGTGTCTGGTGCTCCGGTGGTCACACAGCGCCCCCTCCTGGGTGGCATGGGCCTGGAGGATGCAGAGCTGTCCACCCAGCTGCGTTTCTACAGGAATCATTTTGAGCCTGAGGTTTGGAGGCAGGTCTGGTCTTTGACCACCGTGATGGCTCCCACTGGCCCATAACCCCCTGGTCCCCCTCCTTCCTGAGTGTCAGGGAGCCCTGGATCTCAGCAGCTGATTCCCACCCCCCAGGGTTTCCGTTCCGTTCAGTCGCTCAGTCATGTGTCGGACTCTGTGACCCCATGGACCGCAGCACACCAGGCCTCCCTGTCCATCACCAACTCCTGGAGTTTACTCAGACTCATGTTCATCGAGTCGGTGATGCCATGCAGCCATCTCATCCTCTGTCGTCCCCTTCTCCTCCCGGTCTGCCTGGGTCCTATCTCTGCGCCATTCTGCACAGGGCCAGCCTGGGAAGAAGGAAGGGGCATGGGCCCTTGGGTACTCATGGACCCAAGACAACTGCGTCTCCATGGACAACTGTGCAGGTTGTGCACCGCACGAGCACCCCCCAGCTTAGATGCGCACTCTGCGGCCACAGCAGACAGCACGGGTTGTATGTGGACGGTTCTCATTGTCCAGCAGATGGCAGTCAAGTCTCTGGTTCAGCAAACCAGGCTCTTGACTATTTCACCAGTTTGCCAACAGATGTCAGTAAAGTGTTTTGAGGAAGGGGTGTCTTTTTCTAATTAGCACAAAGGCGCTGCATGGGCTGGCAGGGACCTGACAGCCAAGTCTGGTGGTTGAGCTTGGGCACAGCCCGGCTCAGGGAACTGTCCTCCAGAAACCTGCATCCTGCACCCCTGCTGAGGTGGTCCCTCAGGTTAGGGATCTCCCCAGTTCCCCTTTTCTTTGAAAAGCATCATGTTTCTTCCTAGCTCTGGCCTCCAAACCGTAGATTTCTCCCTTCTTGTCCCTCTCCCCTCTCTCTCCCCCAGTCAGGCATGGAGTCTTGCCAGATTCCTGATATAGACCCTTTGAGCCTCCGCATTATCAAGGGTATCAAGAGCAGATCACATCCAGCCCCTTTTGAGGGAACAGACAGGTTCTGTGGGCCCAACGGGTAGACCAGGCCTCATGTGAGCAAGTCATGCTCTTGCGGGTGTGGTGGGCTGCCTGAAATGGTGCCAAGGCCTGCTCACCTTGAGGCAGGGAGCTGGCAGAGGGGCCAAGTGTCTGATGGGTTCACGTTCCTCCATGCTAGGCCCTTGGGCTCCAGGTCTGTGTCTTCACTTCCTTTCATGACCCTATCTTCACACGGCCTGGGAGACATCTGTGCTTACTGGGCTCTGGGGTAGGGTAGAAAGAGATGTGTTTTTACCTTACCCGTGAGGACCAAACCCCTGAGTTTGAATCTTCATTCTGCTCTTTAGATGCTGTGTGCTCTCAAGCAGGTCTCTTGCTCTCCCTGATTTCCATTTCCTCATCTCCCAGATGAGGCTGATAATGTCTGCCTCTCAAGATTTATGTGACGATTTTCTTTCACTGTTTATTATGGACATTTTTAAGGGGAGAAAATGGTACCTCATATACTCATCACCTGGTTATGATGATTGTCAACTCAAAACTGGTTTCTTCAGCAACCCCCCTTCTAGTCCCCTTTTCCAATGGATTATTTAAGAGCAAATCTCAGACACATAATCATTTCACCTATAAATACTTCAGGATGTCTCTGTAAGAGACAGTAACTCTTTTTTTTTTTAAGTTATTTCATTTTATTTTTTGGCCATTCCATGCTGCATGTGGGATATTAGTTCCCCAGCCAAGGATCAAACCCTTGCCCCCTGCAGTGGAAACTCAGACTGTACTGCCAGTGAAGGCCCAAGAACTCTTTTCTTTTTTTTTTTTTTTGTTTTGCCCTAAAAGATGCCAACAGTACCATGATTACATCTAACAAGTTAATGATACTTATTTAATAACAGTAAGATCCCCTGGTTTTCCTTGGCTGTTTCATAATTGCCTTCTCACAGCTAATCTGTGTGAATCATTTGTGATATGCTTCTTACATGCCCTTTTATCTATCATACTTCCCTCTCCTACTTTTCTCTGATTTATTAATTGGAAATCAGATCATTTCTCTGGCAGAGTGGCTCTCAGTCTGGATTTTGCTGACTGCACCGTAGTGGTATCATTCAGTGAGTCCCACGGTCCCCCATGTTTCCTCGAAACTGGTAGTTGAACACGGGTTCGGCTGTGCCCGAGGACTGCAGCCAGTGACAGGCATTGCCCTCAGGGATACGTGGTGGCCGTTAAGTGTTAGAACTGATCAGTGGGTTCAGCGGTTGTGCCCATTAAATGAGAACACGTGTGGGTGCTCAGCGAAGCACTCTGTGACCGGCAGCCTTCACAGTGACCTTGGAACCTGCAGAGTTCTGGGATGAGGATGGTGGAAGACAGGAGATGGGGATCTGTCGGATCTATCGAGCTGGTTGATCAAGTCCTTCGTTCATGATATGGGGCAGAGGGTCTCATCCTAGGCCCTACGTCTGCTCTTGGAAAAGCCGTGTTCCCAAACCCAGCGTGTGAGCCAGTTTCCATCTTGGTGACCCCTTTGTCCGGAGCTGTCACCCCTGCCTCCCCGGGACAGGCTTATCTGCTGAAGTTCCAGGAGCCTCAGGTCCCATCTCCTCTGTAGATCGAGGCCAGCTCGGGGCACCTTTGCTGGGCTGGATGGAATGGGGAGCCACTGAACAAGCTCCCCATCCTTGTCTCTCTGTTTGAATTGTCCTGGGGCGTGATTCTCCTCCCTCCCCACCACAGTGCCTGGGGGCGCGGGCGGGATTCTGAGCCTCTCCCTCGGATTCCGAGCAGGTGCGGGAGCTGACTGACGCAGAGTTCCCCCACTCCTTCCTGGTGTCCGGGAAGCAGCGAACCCTGGAGCTTCGAGCCCGGTAGGCAGGGGGCCCAGGGGCGGGGAGAGACGGGAAAACTGGGAGGGGCCGCTCCCCTCAACACCTGTGTTCTCTTTCTGAGCAGGTCCCAGGAGGAAATGATCTCCTGGTTGCAGGTATCAGAACAAAAGCTCCAGGGCCCCTAGGGTTGTGACTGGGGGGGAGGGTGGGGTGCTGAGTGTGTGTGTGTGTGCGTGCGTGGGAGCACACGCACCCACCTGCTCTTCCTCAGCTCTGTAGTAGTTGTAGGTGTCAGACAGGTTCAAATCTTGCCGCTGAATGGCCTGGGACAAGTCGTTTATCATCTCTGAGCCTCAGTTTTCACATCTGTTGTATGTTCAGCTGCTCAGTCGTGTCTGACTCTTTGCAACCCCATGGGCTGCTGCACACCAGGCCTCCCTGCCCCTCACTATCTCCCAGAGTTTACTCAAACTCATGTCCAACGGGTCAGTGATGCCATCCAACCATCTCACCCTCTGTCATCCCCTTCTCCTTCTGTCTTCAATCTTTCCCAGCATCAGGATCTTTTCCAATGAGTTGGCTGTTTGCATCAGGTGACCAAATAGTTTCTCCTCCCTTTAATCAGACACTGTATGCTTGGAATGTTGTGCCCAGCACCCAGCAGGCTTTTAGCAGTGCTTGTTGAATGTGTGGATGGATTCACAGATGAGCAAGGCCCTTCTGCCTCCCCCTCAACCACCTCCTTTTGCCCTGCACCCCCCACACCCACCCCGCACCAGGCCTGCCAAGCTGCCATTGACCAAATCGAGAAGCGGAATGAAACCTTCAAGGCTGCAGTCCAGAGCCCTGAGGCAGACCCCCAGGAGCAGGAGGTAAATGCAGACTCTGTATTTCTACCCACCCCACCCCCGCCACCCCACTTGGAGCCTCCAACCTCACACAGGACTGATTCCCTCTCTTGGCTCTACCTAGGCAGCTTGGAGGGCGGGGGCATGTCACCCACCACAAATGATCCGGAGGGATCAGGGGAAGCCCCACACCCCAGCATCGCCCTACTCATAGAAACTCAGTGCCAAAGACTCCCTCATTAGCAAGAAAGTCCTATGGGAGCCTCTTTGTGCAGCTGCTCCCAGGAAGGATTTCAGGTCTATAAGTATAACTCTGCCTGTGGGGGGTGGGGTGTGTGTGTGTGTGCGCGCGCGCGTGCAGGTTGGGGTTCTGAAAGTGCCTGAAAAACGCTAGACCAAGGGAAAGTGGAAGGCAGGTGGGGTGGCAGTTATGGAGAGCGTCTCTGACTATTTCAGCTCTGAGCTCTGAACATGGCCTGATGGGTAGTCTTTACTGGGTCCTTAGACCTCTCTGGCCTCAGTTTCCTCACTTGTAACGCAGGACGTGGAGAGACTGACCTCCCCCAAGTGTGGTCTTCATCCGTTTGTTCCCCTTCATGTGGGAGCCGCTGGGAAACACAGCCTGCAGGCCCTCTGCACAAGTCAGTGGGCAAAGGGCCCAGGGCCGCGGGGAGGTGGGCAGGGGGTCCTGAAGTGCCCACCCTGCTGCCCCACAGCTGCAGTCCATGGAGCTGGGCCTCCGGGCGCCCCAGTGGGTGCGGGACAAGATGGTGACCATGTGCATGCGCTGCCAGGAGCCCTTCAACGCCCTGACGCGCCGCCGCCACCACTGCCGGGCCTGTGGCTACGTGAGTACCCACTGGCCCCCATCTGCCAGCCCGGGCCCTGCCCTCCCCTCCCTGCCCACCCTGCCCGCTTCAGCGGGTGCAGAAGCGCTGGGCACTAACCCGGCCAGACGTGTGCATTACCTCGTTCGGACCTCACATGTCCATTTGTGAAGCAGGTCTCCCCCAACCCCTAATCCCCTTTCTGCAGTTGGGCCCTGAGGCTCAGGCAGGTTAAAGCCACCAATTCAAGACATTCCCCAGAGCCGACCCTATTCATTCACCTGCTTCCTTACCACCGTTTCCCAAGACCCCAGGGCCCAGGACCAGGGAACAGTCTCCAGTGTCAGACTCTTCAGCCCTTGCAGGCCTTGAACCCACCTGCTCATCAGCCCCAGGCCTGTTACACAACCCCCCGCCACCCCCCATCCACTCTTCTTGACCTACCTCAGCTAACTGTCCCCTCCTCTTCTTGGGCGGATCCTCAGCACTCACTCCAGCACCTACTCATTCTGGAGCTAACTCTGCCTGCCATGTTCAGGCCTCAGTTTCCTCACCTGTAGAATGGGAATCAAGAATACCTGGGCGGTAGTGAGACCTCAGCAAAGGAAAGTTCACCCCTTCCCTCTCCTGGTTCTCCTTCCCTTCCCCTTCCTCAGTCGCCGGGGCAGCACCATTCAGAGGAGCAGCCGTCAGCTGATGGACGAAGGAACCAGGCCACTCCTCCGTCTTCTCATCGGCTCAGGCCGTTATCAGAGGCAGATCTTGCTTTGCTTTTTAAGCACCTGCTGCACTTGAGCTGTTCTCTGTTGACATTACAACCTTCTCCATTCACTCCGCAAACACGGGGAGCCCTTTAATGACCTCGGGGGGAGGGGGAAACAGGAGGAGAACAGCTGGGCAGGTTGGGGCCAGTCAGGGAGGTGTCCCCAGAATGTGTTAAGCTGCAAAGAGGACAAAAGTAAATTTCCAGGACTGGGACACACCTGTGTTCAGATGTGAGTTCCATCCCAGAGCCAAACAGACAGGATCTGGGAGATGAACTTCCCTTCTGGGTGAGTCACATCAGTAAATGAGTCAAGTTCGCTCACACTTGTAACTTTGTAAGTCATTTCTTAAAAGCTATTTACAATAGTTAAGAAATACCAAGAGGCCGAAAGAACGATATAGCGACACCCGTGTACCTGCCTTCCAGGTATGAGGAAGAAATAAAGTATTCTGAGAACTGAATGAAATATATGATCCTTGATTGAATCCTGGATGGGAAAAGGCAGAACCAGATACAGGAGTCGTTGTTGGGACCATTGAGGGATATTTGCTTATGAAGCACATATTGTTAATAAGACTGTGTTGATATTAAATTTCCTGAGTATGATCGTGACGTTGTGGCTAGGGAGAATGTCCTTGTTCTTAGGAGCTACAAGCTACATATTTAAGAGTGACAAGACACACGATGATTGTAACCTCAACGGTTCAGAAAGAAATATAGAGTGAGGGGGAGAGAGAGGGAGAGAAGGAGACATCAAACGTGGCAATACACGTTCACAGTTCCTGAATCTGGTGGTGGGGGTATTGCTGTATTATTCTTTCAACTTGTCTTCAGGTTTGAAATTTTCGAAAATAAAAAGTTGGTAGAGGAGACAGAAGAAAATGAAAAGTTTCTAATAATGTTTTAAAAAAATTAAATCTCAATTTAAAAAAAAAAATCAAGTTAAATATTCCCAAGGCAGCTGAAGCCCTGTGTGTAGAGCTTTGTGAGACACCCTTGGCCCGATTCTGGGGTTTCTCGTGCCCGTGCAAACCTTTGTACTCTGTGAGTCATCCTTTCGGTGGTTGGGTGCCCAGTTTCTGCCTCCCCGCCTGCCAGACGGGAATCCTGGTGAGGGTGGGGCAAGCCCAGGCCCTCTCCTACGGGTCCCTCCCAGGCCACATGCTGTGCTGGGCACCCAGGCGGGCTCCCTGATGAGTTACCCTTCCTCCTAGGCTTGCTCTCTTACCCCCATTTCCAGTCCCACTTCCTGGACTCACTGTGACACCCCAGTCTTCCTGGAAGTTGCATCCTGCCATGCCTGTGTTTCTCCCCAGGTTTTCTCATGCCTCTTTCATGCGGTCACCCCAGATCTGCTGCGGCCTTCTTGGGGGCGACTCAGTGGTGGGCTGGGGGACGGGCCCCCCTCCACAGACTTCACATGTCAGGTCTTCCCAGCAAAAACTGCCAGCCCACCATTTTTGTATCAAAACATGCTTGACTCTAAGACTGAGTGTATTGCAAAGCCTGGACTGCAAAGGCACGTTCCATGTGAGGAGGGCTGGCTGCTACCCGTGAGCGGTGTGGCCCTTGCCAAGTCACTGCCCCCTCATTGCAAAGTGAGGGTAAAAGTCCCAAGACTGGTCCCTTGCTGGGGGCACAGGAAGTCAGGTGGGATGGCAGAAGGGAAAGAGAGAGTATTCAGAGAAGTGATGAGACGCAAGGGGTGAGTGCTGGTCAAGCCCCCGGGATCAGGAGCTGCCCCCCAAAGGGGACCGTGCAGAGAGAGGCTGAGCTCCTTCAGAGGGGCCCATGTCTCAAGACCCCCAGCTGGGGGCCCTGGAGCCTGAGCACCACCCCACCTACCCCCGCCAGGTGGCTGTGAGGACAGGGGAGGCCCCGCTCTGTCTCCATCTCTCCCCTGAAGCCTGTTCTTCCCGGGTCCCTGGGGCTCTCACGTCCCCAGCTCCCGGGCCAAGGCACAAACCGCATCTAAGCCCCTCCTGCCTGTCCTCCCCAGGTGGTGTGTGCCAGGTGCTCGGACTACCGGGCGGAGCTCAAGTACGATGCCAACAGGCCCAACCGAGTCTGCTTGGACTGCTACACCTTCCTCACGGGAAACGTGCTCCCTGAGGAAAAGGAGGACAAGAGACGGGGCATCCTGGAGGTGAGGGTCGGCTGCCTCCGCTCAGCAAACGTGTGCAGGGCCTCCCCAGAGCTGGCGCTCCCCTCGGTGCTGAAGAACTAGCCCCCTCCTTCTCTCTGCCCAGGGACACCCCCCAACACACCCGCTAACATCCCCTACCCCCGCCAAATAAAGCAGAGCCGGGCCTGTCACCAAATGGAAGCAACTTCTGGCTCCAGGCTGTCACCAGGGCTCCCTGCCCCTCCCCTGCCTCCCCATCCAGTGAGCACTCCTGTTCTCAGCCCCATGCCCCAGCAGTCCCAGGAGGTGAAGAGAGCTGCTGCTGCTGATCCCATTTTACAGATGGGGAGATTGAGGCTCAGGGTCCCACTGCAGGGAAGAGGCAGACTGGAGACCCCATTCTAGTTGGAAGGGACTTCAGGGACCGGCTGGTTCTATCCCAGGGAGACCCAGGCCCAGAGAAGTGACTCACCCAAGGTCACATGGTGACTTAGGAGCCAGGTCTCTGATCTGTGCCACGGGTAGTGTCTGCTGCCTTTGGGGCTCCCCAGGCTGCTCCCACCTCTGGGGCACTAGCTGTATCCAGCTTCATGCTACACATACAGTGGTCCCCAGTCCAGCCACTGGTCACTACCACCACCCTCTACACCGCCCCACCTCATTAAAGCCAGGTTGACATCCCACTGTCCTTGAGAGGTGGGAGAAGACCCCAGCCTATTCCACCTGAATTCAGCTCCCAGGTTCAAGTGATCCTTTCCACCACATCTGCTTTCTGACCCTCCCCCATTCTTTTAGGCCCAGACCCTGCCCACACCTTCCCTGACCGTTGGTCCACATAGCTTTCCCCCCTTAAGGAGGAATGGTCTCTGCCCCGTGCCAGGCTCCTGATCTGCTTCCTGGGGGTGACTTGCAGGGGATACGCCCTCCAGCCCCTGCCCCAAGCTCAGGCTGGCTGGGGTTTGACTGCAGCTCTGCCACTGGCCAGCCGTGTGACTACAAGTCTCTGATGGGACCTCTCGGAGCCTCAGGGACAAATAGCATCTCCTTTGGTGGGGTTGCCGTTAAGGTTTAGAAAGAGTGCTTTCTGATGGCCGACATCAGGTAGTGGAAGCCGTGCTCCCTGACGGTCCCTCTCTCTGGTTTCAGAAAGGAGCCGTGGCGGGGTCTGAGCAGAGCCTCATATGCAGCTTTCTGCAGCTCCTGGGGGACAAGTGGGGCAAGAGCGGGTCCCGGGGCTGGTGTGCCATCCCCCGGGATGACCCCCTTGTGCTCTACGTCTATGCTGCCCCTCAGGTAATGCCACTCCCTGCCCCTCCTCGCAGCACATGTGTCTGTCGGCAGGGGGGTGGGGGTGAGTCCTGCTGGCCCCATAAGTCAGATGAGGAAACTGAGGCTCCGTGAGGCCCTGGTTCCCTTGAGACACAGGGTCAGCAGCTTTCAGAGCTGGGCCCAGACTCCAAGCCATGATGGTTTTGGCTCAGGAGACGACCAGTCTTCTTTGAGGCCCCTCCTGCCAGCCCACCCCACTGCGTGGGTGTTTGGGGGGGCAAGAGGTGGGTGTGTGGCTGGAACCCTCCAAAGGGCTGTCTGTGGCAGCGGTCACAGCCGCCCCTCCCTCCCTCGTCTCCACCCCCAGGACATGCGGGCCCACACCTCCATCCCCCTGCTGGGCTACCAGGTGACCGCTGGGCCCCAGGCGGACGCCCGGGTCTTCCAACTGCAGCAGTCAGGCCAGCTCTACACCTTCAAAGCCGAAAGCGAGGAGCTGAAGGGCCGCTGGGTGAAGGCCATGGAGCGGGCGGCCAGCGGCTGGAGCCCTGGGGAGTCCGGTGACAAGGACCTGTCTGACTGAGCCACGTGCCAGCCCCTCTCCTCCGCAGAGCCCCACTCCTGCCTGCGGGCTGAGACTGCGGCTGACCCGCCGCCCCCAGCTGAGCTTTCAAAGAATCAATCTGCAGTCTTCTGTCTTCAGCCCGTGTGCCCTGATTTGAGATTCCGAAAACATGGGTCCGTTCCTCTGGGGAGGGGGTGAAGAAGCATATCCCGGCTTAACCAGGGCCGAGGGGGTTCCTGGGATGTGGGACTGTCAGTTCTAAAACTAGTAAAGTCCCAGGTAACCCATGACTGTTGGTCACCAAGGTGATTCTCAGCCCAGGCCGTGCATGAACGGACAGAAAAATAAAGATAAAAATAAGTTAAAAATTCAAAAAAATACCAGTGCCGGTATCCTTCGCCAAAGATTTCTGACTTGACTGGTCTGGGATGGGGAGGCATGTGGATGTTTTAGGAAGTCCCCCGCGAGTCCGATGTACAGCCTGGGGTTACCTGGATAAAGGAGAAAGCGAGCGAACTGCTGAGTGCCAGGCGTGAGAGTAATAATGCTGATGAATATCAAACACCTACTGAGGCAGGTACCGTTCTCATTGCTTTATGTGGATCATCTCACTTTACTCTCAGGACATACAATCCCCATTTTCCAGATGAGGACACTGCGTCTTAGAGAGAGTTAGTCAGTGCTCAAGGTCCCCCCAGCTGGTGGATGTAGGAGCCAGGTTTTAACACAGTGCACTAAGGTGAAAGCTCCATCCATCAGGTAGCAGAGCAGTTGGCTGAGCAGAGAAGTGGGGAAAAGAGTGAAGAAAATGGGGGGAGACAGTAATAGGAGCTGGAGGGGAAGTCAGGGGAGCATCTCCAGCCCTCTAGAGGGTGGGATAGGCTCCTTTTTCCTAAGAGACCACCATGGGGTGGCAGTGACCAGCAACCCGCATCCAGGGGCCCCAGCCTGGGCCCTGACACAAGAAGCAGACCAGTCATAGATCTTTGCCCAGCAGTTTGCTTCTGGCCTCCCTCCACAATCTGAGGCCCCTTCCCTTCTTTAGGGTATTTTTAAATTTTCTTGGTTGAGTCACATGGCACATGGGATCTTAGTTCCCCAACCAGGACTCAAACTCACAGCCCCTGTTGAGGAAGCATGGAATTTTAACTCCTGGACTACCAGGGACGTCCCTTTAGGGTATTTTTTAAAGCCCAAGAAAACCTACTTGGCACCATCTCTCTGGGGACCAGCCTGGCCTGGCTGTAAGTTTATTCCTTCATTCAACAAGTATTTGTTGAGCATCTTTTTGAGCCAGTGCATTCCTATATCAGGGTACAGCAATGAAGGAGACAAAATTTCTGCCTTCATGGAGTTTATGTTCTTATTCAACAAAACAAGTACATATTAATAAAATGTAGAACATAATAGATGTAACGAGTGACAAACCATCCAGACTTGCCTAGTTTTAAAACTGAAAAACTTAAGTCTCAGGAAACCTCTCGGTTCCAGGCAAACTAGGATGGTTAGTCATTCTGGTGAGAGAACAAAAGGAGTAAGGAAAGGATCAGGGGGGACCGGGATGCATGTGTGTCCATTTTTAAAGGAAAATCAAGGGAGGCTTCACTGAGGAGTCAGTGTCTGAAAAACAAACTCAAGGAAAGAAGAAAGGGTGAGCAGCACACAGGTAGCGGGGGGAGAGCATTCCAGGTGGAGGGAACAGCAAGTGCAAAGGTCCTGTGGTGAGAGCCTGCCTGGTGCTTGCAGAGAACAGTGGGGAGGTCAGTGTGGCCAGAGCGGAGTGGGCAGGAAGGCGATCAGAGCAGAAGGCGTCAGGTCATCACTAAAGTGAGGGTCAGGTCGGGGAGCAGGGCTGAATAAGATGAGGAGTCTTGAGGGGAATCTGATTTGTTTTAACGGACTCTGTCCTGCTGCTCGCTGAAATAGACTGAAAGGGATGAAGGCAGAAGCAGGTGAGAGGCAGTCACAGCTGTATCAGTGAGAGGGGACATGGCTTATGTTAGGGTTGGAACAGGAAAAGTGGGGAGAAGGGATCGAATTCTGGGTTCATTTTGAAGGTAGAGTGGAAACTCACCAACACAGTGACTGTGGTGGGAGAGAGAGGGACCCAGAGGTGACTCTACGGCCTCTGACCTGAGAACAAGCGGGTGGGGTGGAGTGACCACTGAGATGAGGAGGCCTTGGGAGGGGCAGGTTGGGGCGTGCACAAGTTACTGGCCAGCAGTCAGGCATCTGAGCCCAGGCACTGGGTCTGAGCTGGGAGTGTAACATGAGAGTGGACATCCATAGATGGGATTTAAAGAGTGTGTGAAACAGAAGGAAGGGGTCCATGGACTGAGCCCCGGGCACCCCAGGTGTTAGCACCTTGACGTCCTGACTGCACACACATTCTAACCCTTTTACCTGCAGTGACAATTCTGAGAATTTACCCCAAGGAGGCAGGTCAGCACCACAAGACTTAAGCACATTGTGTATGGTGGTCCCCCAAACTGGAAACTATGTAAATATCCATCCAAAGGAGACTCAGCAAGTAAACTTATGCCCATGGAGAGGGAACTCCTGGCAAATCACTGTGTCCACACAGTGGAGAACCGTGTGGCTCTTCAGTGAGAAGCTTCCGTCTTAACAAGCTCATCTGGGAAGATGCCCACGAGGTGTTAGGTGGACAATAGCTACAGAAGGACCTAATATCTTAAAGCACTCACTGTATGTCAGGCACTGAGTTAAGGCCTTGGTGGAGATTATTGTGCTTAATTCTTTATTTAAAAAATTATTTATTTTTTATCTGGATTTTTAAAAAATAAATTTATTTCTTGGTTTCACTGGGTTTCACTGCACACACTTTCTCTAGTTGCAAAGGGTGGGGTCTACTCCTGAGTTGTGATGTGCAGGCTTCTCACTGGGGTGGCTTCTCCCACAGAGCCACAGGCTCTAGGTGTGGGCTCAGTACTTGTAGCACACAGGCTTACTTGCTCCACGGCTTATGGGATCTTCCTGGACCAGGGATCAAACCTGTGTCCCCTGCATTGTTAGGTGGATTCCCGTCCATTGTGCCACCAAGAAGTCCTGCAGCTTCTATTGTGAAGGTAGTTTTATGAGTATATAAAAGGCCTTTGAATATATTTGCTGTAAAAATGTCAAAGGTAATAGTAGCTATTTAAGTGGAAGGAAAATGAAAGTGTCAATCACTCAGTCATGTCTGACTCTTTGCAACCCCATGGACTGTAGCCCACCAGACTCCTCTATCCATGGGATTTCCCAGGCAAGAATACTGGAGTAGGTTGCCATTTCCTTCGCCAATTAAAAAATTATTATTATTATTATTATTTGGCTGCTGGGTTTTCATTGCTGTGTGCAGTCTTTCTCCAGTTTTGGCAAGTGAGGACTGCTCTTCGTAGCAGTCCTCGGGCTTCTCATGGCTTGAGGTGGCTTCCGCCTCTCGTTGCCGGGCACGGGCTCTGGGACACATGGGCTTGGGAGCTCAGGCTCGGGCGCTCGAGCACAGGCTCAATAGTTGTGGTGCATCGGTTTAGCTGTTCCTCAGATGTGGAATCTTCCTGGATCAGGGATCAAACCGATGTCCATGCAACAGCAGGCAGATTCTTATCCAGTGTACCACTAGAGAAGTCCCACTTAATTCTTAATAACCTTAGAAGTAGATACTATATCCAAATCCTCATTTTACAGGTGAGGAAACTGAAGCGTCAGTGATTGAGTAGAACTTGCTTGTGGTCACATAACAGTGGGTGGAAGTGGCAACTTTCCAAATCACTCACTGTGGAATGTTCCGGTCCTGCTTGGGTGAAGATATTTTACATCTGCACCGACTGAAGGGTACACAACGCACTTTACAAGTGATTGTTCTGCTGTCTTTTTCAGCTGCGTCTGCAGTGTTTGAATTTTTTTTTCAACTTGAGATATTATTCTATAATCACAAGAACAAAAGTGGCTTTCCTGTGTTAAGGGGAAAATAAGGGAAGGACTAAAAGAAGACTCACCCGCCCTGCCCTCCTTGCTGGGAGGGTACCTGATCTGCCACTGCTTGGGGTTACTTGGCGTCAGTGCCAGAACCCAGAGGCTGTGTGCCCCACTGAGTGCTTCAGTGGCCCCAGTAGCCACTAGGAAGTGCAAGGGGAAGTACCCGGCTGGAATGGAGTCACTCATTATTCCATGAATGAGTGTGATGTGGAAATGTGTGCAGTGATCAGGAAGTAGGAGAGAGCTGGGAGCTGGGAGAACTGAGTCCCACCAGAAAGCCAGGGACACCAAGGCTCATCTCTGAGAGCTCAGAGAAGCCCTTATGACATAGGGGGAGCCCCTGACCTTCCTGGGCTGAGCTCACTCTGGCTTCTGTCACCCGTTGACCCTCTTTGTCCCAGACTCACGGGCTGCGTCAGGCAGGGATGACTCTAAGGGATTCAGATTTTCACCTTGAAGCTCCCTGCTTCTAAAAGGCTGGAGGCTTGCCTAGCAGTCTGGTGGCTCAAAGTACCCATGCGCCCTGACATGGGAAGGGGATCTAGGATGGAAAGGGCGGGAAGGCTGGCAGAGGCCAGGGCAGGGGCATCTCTGGGGGTCCTAGGGGGCCCTGAGTCAATGGAAGACGTTGTCTCTGCCTGCCTTCCCTCCTGGGGAATCCTCCTTCCTCTAGCACCCGGGGCTGACTCCAGGGCTCTGGGAATGGCATCAACTCATTCATTCACTCATTGCTTCTCACATTCATTATTGCTCAACTTACTATTTACTATACAGTGAGTCCTATGCACACATCATTTCATTCATTCAGAAACAGCCTTTTGGCATCAGTTCAGCTGTCCACATTTTACAGATGAGGACGGTGGCCAAGGCTCAATAACTTTTCCGTGGTCACCCGGCCTGTAAGTAATGAACTCAGACTCAAAGTCTCCTCCTAGCCAACACTGGGGGGCAGTATGCCCCGTGGTTAGTGGGCCTAGGCCTCCACACAGCTCTGCCACTTATTGGCTGTCTTGTCTTGGGTGAGACTTCATTACTCTGGGCTGGGTAAAGTGGGGGTGACCATGATCCTACTTCCCTGGGGAGCTTGGGGGAGTCAGCTGAATGACTATGTGTCCAATTCTCAGAGCAGTGGTGGCCACACGTGGTTATTACAGGCTTTCACGGTGTCACACTGTGCTGTCTGCTTCTTTGTGCTGCAGTGCACGTATTTATGGAGAATCTGGGAATACAAAGTTGAATAACTCGTAATCCCTACTCTTAGGGAGCTCAGTGTCTAGGTCATTTAAATCATATGGGAAGCTTTTAAAAAACTCCCAGTGCCCAGACTGCACCCCAAGGCCGTTAAATGAGAATCCCCTGATTTAGACTGGGCTGTGACATCAGCATTTTAA